ATAAAACAGCATGTGTGCTACTGTTACATGAGAAACTATCTGTTCTGTAAGCCTTCACCTGAAGTACAATAAAATATTTAAAAAAAAGATTGTAGAGGCTGGAAAGTCCCAAGTGTGTGTATTAGGATAGAAGCTTCTCCCAATTCACATAGTCACAGGGGCTGGTGAACCCAAGATCAGCATGTTGGAAAGCAGGTTTCTGCTCACAGGTTGTGAAGATCGATGAATCCCAAGATCTGCAGATGAGCTGATAGCTCAAGTCCCAAGAACCAGAGGCCAGACAAACATAAGGCAGCCTCAGGATCCAGAGAGAGCAAAAAGCCAGAATGTCTGTTTATATTTGGATGCAGGCCACACCCCAAGGAAACTCCATTTCACTGATTGGCTACTCACAGCATATTCAATCATGGGAGTGATCACATATAAACACTGAGAATCATGGCCCAGCCGAGTTGACACACAATCTTAACCATCACAGTCATTCTTCTGGCAGTCCACGGTATATTCAATATTCTTCACCAACACCATAACTCGAAGGCATCAATTCTTCTTCAGTCTTCCTTATTCACTGTCTGCCTTTCACGTGTATATGAGGTCATTGAAAATACCATGGCTTGGTGTGGCTTGGTGAGGCGCACCTTAGTCTTCAAAGTGATATCTTTGCTTTTTAACACTTTAAAGACGTCTTTTGCAGCATATTTGCCCAATGCAATATGTCATTTGATTTCCTGACTGCTGCTTCCATGAGCGTTGATTGTGGATCCAAGTAAAACGAAATCCTTGACAACTTCGATCTTTTCTCCATTTATCATGATGTTAGTTATCGGTCCAGTAGTGAGGATTTTTGTTTTCTTTATGTTGAGGTGTAATCCATGCTGATGGCTGCAGTCTTTGATCCTCATCAATAAGTGCTTTAAGTCTTCTTCACTTTCAGTAAGCAAGGTTATGTCATCTGGATATTACAGGTTGTTAATGAGTCTTCTTCCAATCCTGATGCCCTGTTCTTCTTCATGTAGTTCCAGCTTCTTGAATTATGTGCTCAGCATACAGATTGAATAAGTATAGTGAAAGAATACAACCCTGATGCACACCTTTTCTGATTTTAAACCACACAGTATCTCCTTGTTCTGTTCGAATGACTGCCTCTTGGTTTACGTGCAGGTTCTGCATGAGCACGATTAAATGTTCTTGAATTCCCGTTCTTAGCAATGTTATCCACAATTTAGTATGATCCACACAATTGAATGCTTTCGCATAGTCAATAAAATGCAGGTAAACAGCTTTCTAGTATTCCCTGCTTTCAGCCAAGATCCATCTGACATCAGCAATGGTATCTCGCATTCCACATCCTCTTCTGAATCCGGCCTGACGTTCTGGTATTCTGGCACTTCCCTGTTGATGTATTGCTGCAACTGCTTTTGAATTATTTTCAGCGAAATTTTACTTGCATGGGATATTAATTATATTGTTTGATAATTACCACATTTTGTTGGATCACCTTTCTTCAGAATGGGCACAAATATGGATTTTTTCCAGTCTGTTGGCCAGGTAGCTCTCTTGCAAGTTTCTTGGCATAGATGAGTGAGCACCTCTAGTGCTCCATCCATTTCATGAAACACGTCATTTGTTATTCTATCAGTTCCTGGAGCTTTGTTTTTCCTGGAGCCAATGCCTTCAGTGCAGTTTGGACTTCTTCCTTCAGTACCATTGGTTCTTGATCATATGCTACTTCATGAAACGGTTGAATAATGTCAACCAATTCTTTTTGGTACAGTGACTCTGTGTACTCCTTTCATTTTCTTTTGATGCTTCTTGTGTTGTTCAATATTTTCTCCATGAAATCCTTCAATATTGTAACTCGAGGTTTGACTTTTTTCTCCAGTTCTTTCAGCTTGAGAAATGCCAAGTATATTCTTCCCCTTTGGTTTTCTAACTTCAGGTCTTTGCACACTTTATTAAAATAATTTATCTTGTCTCCTTTTGCCCTGTTTGAAATCTTCTGTTTGGCTCTTTTACATCATCATTTCTTCCATTTGTTTCAGCTGTTCTATGTTCAAGAGCGAGTTTCAGAGTCTCTTCTGACATCCGTTTTGGTCTTTTCTGCCTTTTTAATGACCTTTTGCTTTCATAATATATGATGTCCTTGATGCCATCCCACAACTTGTCTGGTCTTCGATCATTAATGTTGAATGTGTCAAATCTATTCTTGAGATGGTCTCTAAATTCAGGTGGGATATACTCAAGGTCTTGACTCTTGTGGACTTGTTTTAATTTTCTTCATCTTGAACTTGAATTTACATATGAGCAATTGATGGTCTGTTCCACAGTTGGCCCCTGGCCTTGTTCTGACTGATGATATTGGGCTTCTCCATTGTCTCTTTCCACAGATGAAGTTGTTTTGATTCCTGTGTATTCCATGTAGCAAGGTACATATGTATAGTCGTGCCATTTATGTCATTAAAAAAAGGTATTTGCAATTAATAAGCCATAGTTCTTGCAAAATCCTATCATATGACCTCCAGCATTGTTCTATCACCAAGGCCATATTTTCCAACTACTGATCCTTCTTCTTCGTTTCCAACTTTCACATTCCTATCACTGGTAATTATCAATGCATCTTGATTGCATGTTTGATCAATTTGAGACTGCAAAAGTTGGTAAAAATCTTCAATGTCCTCATCTTTGGCATGAGTGGTTGTCGTGTAAATTTGAATAATGGTCGTATCAACTGGTCTTCCTTGTAGGTGTATGGATATTATCTTACCACTGACAGCATTGTGCTTCAGGGTAGATCTTGAGATGTTCTTTTTCACAATGAATGTGATGTCATTCCTCTTCAATTTGTCATTCCCAGCATAGTAGACCATATGATTGTCCAATTCAAAATCGTCCATACCAATGCACTTCAGCCCATTAATGCCTAGGATATTGATTTTTATGTGTTTCATTTCATTGCGGACGACCTCAAATTTTCCTAGATTCATACTTCGTACATTCCACGTTCTTATTATTAACGGATGTTTGCAGCTGTTTCTACTCCTTTTGAGTCGTGCTACATCAGCAAATGAAGGTCCTGAAAGCTTGACTCCATTCATGTTATTAAAGTCGACTCTATTTTAAGGAGGCAGCTCTTCCCTAGTCATCTTTTGAGTGCCTTCCAACTTGAGGGGCTCATCTTCCAGCACTATATCAGACAGTGTTCCACCGCTATTCATAAGGTTTTCACTGGCCAGTTCAGAAGTAGATATCCAGGTCCTTCTTCCTAGTCTGTCTTGGTCTGGAAGCTGCACTGAAACCTGTCCACCATGGATGATCCTTCTAATATTTGAAACACCAGTGGCATAGCTTCCAGCATCACAGCAATATACATGCCAGCACAGTATGAGAAACCCTAGTAGTGGTTAAAAAAAAAAAAGCATAAATGCACTACATGGTAAAAACTACGAATGTGAAAGAAGAGCTTATATGAAAATTGATAAACATAAATACATATAGTCATAAATAAGACATTATAAACATAAATTAATTATGCATTGATTACAGAAATTAGAAAAAGTAAATTATAGATGTCTAAAGAAAGCAGAAGGAAGGAATCAGTAAAGCCAAAAGCAGAAACTGAAGAAGCAGAAAAAAGGAAAGTCCTAGAAATAATACATATGAATGCAAGAGCTGGTTCTTTGAAAAAAAAAAAAAACCAACATTAAAGGAGATAAACTGTTAGCTAATAGAGCTTGCTTTTGGAAAGGAAACTGCATAGCTGCAGAAGGGGCTGGATGGGAGATTTACTTTAAAAATAATTTATTAGTAAATATTTTAGGCATACCAAAAAGTACAAAGAAAAATGTAAAGCACATCTGTGAAACTACCATCAACCTAAAAAAAAAATTACCAAAGCATTTGAAGCCCCTGTGTACTTCTCTATTACATCTCTCTCCAGCTCACCATGAGCTTGAAATTTTAGGGTTCATATTTCCAATGCATTTTTTTTTATCATTTTATAGCATACGCAGCCCCTTAAAAAGTGCTATTTTGCACATTTTTGATGTACACTACTTATTTTTTAACCTGTGGTCGTGTAACTCCATTGTTGAAATTATCCATGTTAGTACATACAGCACTAGTTCATGCTTTCTAACTGCTATATGTTATCACATTGTACAAATATACCACAGTTTACTTTTCACTTCTTCTGTTAATGGAAATTAAGTTTCCAGCTTTTTTGCAACTAAAAATTGTTGCTATGAACATTCTTCTATCTGTAGGTATTTCTTTGGGCACATCTGCAAGAATTTTCCTAGCAGTTGGGCAGTCACATATTTACTTTTACTAGATATTTCCAAATTGCTGTCCCAAGCCGTTGTGCCAATTTACACTACTAAGTGAGTATGGTTTCAGTTGCTCCACATGCTCGACACTTGGCAGGGAGACTTCATTTACACTCTACACCCTTTGTATTGTTCCTGGCATTTCACGTTATACAGTGTCTTGAATTTTATCTCAATTAATCCTCACAAGAAGTTTGTGGTTAGGTATTCGTACTCTTAGTTTGCAGATGAGAAATCGAAGGATCTCTTCGTTTTCTGAGACAAGTTTTTCTTTTTTTCAGTGTATTTTTCTTTTCAACCTCTCTCACTGCACCTTTTCCTCCAAGTCGTGTAAAGGCAGCTTGTTGGAGGGTTTGCAGGGCAGGGTGGGGTATCTAGACTTGGCAGCTTGCCCCATCCGTCCTCCACCCCCTGCAAAACCTATTCGGCACCCCGCCACCCAGAGGGCGTTATGGCTCTCTAACGCGCGCAGAAAAACAGGGTTTGGACCACTGGAGACTCCGTAGTCAGCTCCTATTCTCCTCTCTTCCCTCTTGACTCTCAGAGGGCACCCTCCGCCGCGCTGGAGAAGGCGGGGCAGTGATTTGAGGCTGCCGGGCGCGTTGTGGGTAGGCCGAGGTTTGCGGCGCAAGCGCGCAGGGCGCCGGAAGTGCTGTCGTTTCTCCCTCTCCTGAGCAGTTGTCGTTTCTCCCTCTCCCGAGCGGCTGTCGCCCAGGTTGGAGCACACTGCCCCGGAAGTCCTCCCCCTGCCCCCGCCCGAGGCAAACATGGCGGTGGACTCGGCGATGGAGCTGCTATTTTTAGATACTTTTAAGCACCCGAGCGCTGAGGTAAGGCCTTGCGACGTACTTCCGACCCTGCTTCTCGACTTAGGGATCCATACAAAAACAGAAAAAGAAAACCGTTAGACATGCCTTGACTTTTTCTCTCCCTTTAATTCCTCACATACATCCCCCCCCCCCCACATGGGTGTGGGCACCATGTCTGAGGAAGGGCTGCCGCAGCACTCTGATTTCCCTGGTCTAACTTAGGCCCCTGTGTCTTTGGTCCAGTTGGCTGCCCTGCTCGCATTCTTCCTTTTTTTTTTTCATTCCTGTCAGTTTTGGGCTTTCAGAAGAATCATAGTTCGCAGATTTACTTCAGGTGGTGTTTGGGAGGGGTCTTGGGCAACTTGTGTTTGACAGTAACGCAGGAGTCCGAGCATCTCAAGCTGGTTTGGTGGTTCTTCGCTAAGACATTTCCAAATCCGTATTCTAGGTCACTTTTCTAACGAGAGTTATGAATACCAGTTGTGAGAATTAGGATTGCGGCGTTTTCCAGTTTATCCTGAAACTTAAATGCTTATATCTCTTGGAAAGATTTCGCCCATTAGTACACGAAATGCTTATACAGAACGTCCCTTGTGTGGAGAATACTTGCAAAGAGGGGAGAATTGAGAGAATTGTAGCCAGGGTATAATCCGAAAGCACAAATGTATGGATGTTTTGGGAGATGGGGGTTGTGGAGCAACTGTTCTGTACCATGCAATTTTGACCACCCCTGAACGTTTGGCTGGCTCTGCAATATGTAAATTGAATGTCTTTATTGGAGCCTTCGTGGCATAGTGGTTAAGAGCTCGTCTGCTAACTAAAAAGTTGGCAGCTTGAATCCACCGGCGGCTCCTTGGAAGCCCTATGGCGCAGTTGTACTCTGTCCTATAGGGTCGCTATGAGTTGGAATCCACGGCAACGAGTATTTTGCATTTAGTTAACTAAATGTTTCCAGAAGCTGGCCACAAACGAACATTAACGAAGTCCTTAGCGAAATTAAAAAAATAAACTCACATTTCTTCCTCTTAATCTGAATTTAATCAATTTAGAGAACTGTTTTTGTTTGGAGATTATTTTTTTCCTTCTGTTTTTGTCAACAGAAGAGCTCCATGAGGATAGGTATTGTCTCTCTTGTTCCCAGCTGTATCTCCAGTGCCTAGGACAGTATCCTGCAAAATGTATGTAACCCGTTGCTGCCGAGTCGATTCCGACTCTTTGCGATCCTAAAGACCACAATGTAGGTGCTCAATAAATATTTGAATGAAAACGTCTTTTAGAGTATTTTTTCATTTATGAAATAATGGTGATAGTAAGTGTATTTTAATGCTTTATTTGTCAAAATGAAAAGTTGACAACCTTATCTGATTTTTTTTTTAACAAATAGTTTATAGGTCTGTATAAGTCAAAAGTTTGTGAACTTTGGTTAACATATCTTAGTGATGATTAATTTGTAGCCTCACATTTCATGTAGGTCAGTTAGCTCTGTTCAGTGACATCTTTTCTGACTGTAGTTCAGCTACGTTTTAGAAAACTCACAATGGAGTCGGTAGTTGGATCAGAACAAACTTATCATGTGTACAGAAATCGAGAAGAGTTAAAAATGAAAGAAAAAGCATATGATGAATCCATTTAGTAGTATTCTAGTTAAGGAAAGTTGGTATTCACTCATGTATCATATATTGGTTGGCAGTTTGAACCCACCGAGCATCTCTGCAGGAGAAAGACCTGGTTATCTGCTTCAGTAAAGATTACAGCCGAGAAAACCCTATGAGGCAGTTCTACTCTGTCACATGGGGTCGTTGTGAGTTGAAATCAACCTAACAACAAGAACCTCTTATTCCTTCATTTAGTCTTAGCAAATGAGGTTGATGAGAGGATAGGGCAGAGAGTAAACACCTTCTTCTGGGGGTGATTGGGCATAGTATAGATCAAATTTGAACTGAGTCTTGGTGGAGTATGGGTTTGTGTGTGGAGAAGGAATGGGGTAGAGACATTCCCAACAGCGGACTAGGTGTGTGCGGAGGCGTTGTATGAGATGTATTCAAGAATTGAATATTAATTGTGCTCTAAGAATAGGGTGTTTAGAAAACAGTGTTGGAGAGTGAAAAATAGAGTAATGTGTCTAAAAGTCAGTGAGCTTTGGTGGTCAAGAAACGTGTGAGAGCTATCAAGTTTTACAGTTAAAAATGAGTATGTCTTAAGACATAAAGACACTTAATGAATACTGGTATGTGTGAGGCACTTTACTGAGTGCTGTGGGGGACATTGAAATAAGTTAAACAGAATCTCTGTGCTCGAGGAGCTTATAGATAAGTATTAGAGATTAAAAAAAAAAAACCATTCTTTGAGTCAGTTCCAACTCATGGAGACCCCATGTGTTACAAAGTAGAATTGCTCCTTAGGGTTTTCTTGGCTGTAATCTTTACAGAAGCAGGTCTCCAGACCTTTCTTTTTGGTTACTGCTAGGTAGATTTGAACTGCCAACGTTTAAGTTAGTAGTCTAGCACAAACCATTTGCGCCACCGGTTGTTGTTAGGTGCCACGGAGTCAGTTCCTACTCATAGAGACCCTGTGTATAACGGAACAAAACACTCTCTGGTCCTGCACCATCCTCACAGTTGTTATGCTTGAGCCCATTGTCGTAGTCACTGTGTCAGTCTGTCTCATTGAGGGTTTTCCTCTTTTTCGATGCCCCTCTGCTTTACCAAGCATGATGTCCTTCTCTGTTACTCATATTCAAGTTCAAGCTGAAGCTGAAGAAAATTAAAACAAGCCCGCAAGAGCCAAAATACGACCCTGAGTATACCCACCTGAATTTAGAGACCATGTCAATAATCGATTTGATAAATTAAACGCTAATGACTGAAGACCAGATGAGTTGTGGGATGACATCAAGGACGTCATACATGAAGAAAGCAAAGCAGGTCATTAAAAAGACAAGAAATAAAAGACCAAAATGAATAGCAAAGAGACTCTGAAGCTTGCCGTTGAATATAGAGTAGCTTAAGCAAATGGAAGAAATGATGAAGTAAAAGAGCTGAACAGAAGATTTCAAAGGGTGGCTCAAGAAGACAGAGTAAATTATTATAATGAAATGTGCAAAGGCCTGCAGTTAAAAATCAAAAAGAGAAGAACATGCTTGGCCTTTCTCAGGCTGAAAGAACTGAAGAAAAAATTCAAGTTGCAATATTGAAAGAGTCTATGGGGAAATACTGAATGACACAGGAAACATCAAAAGAAGATGGAAGGAATACACAGAGTCACTGTGCCAAAAAGAATTGGTCGACATTTAACCATTTCAGGAGGTGGCATATGATCAAGAACTGATGGTATTGAAGGAAGAAATCTAAGCTGCACTGAAGGCGTTGGCTCTAGGAAAAACAAAGCTCCAGGAATTGAAGGAATACCAGTTGAGATGTTTCAACAAACAGATGCAACACTGGAAGCGCTCACTCGTCCTTGCCAAGAAATTTAGAAGACAGCTACCTGGCCAACCAGCTGTAAAGATCCATGTTTGTACTCATTCCAAAGAAGGTAATCCAACACAATGCAGAAATTATCAAACAGTATCATTAATATCTCACATGAGTAAAATTTTGCTGAAAATAGTTCAAAAGCAGTTGCAAAAGGACATTGACAGGGAACTGGCAGAACTTCAAGCTTGATTCAGAAGAGGACATGGAATGATTGATATCATTGCTGATAGAGAATACCAGAAAGATGTTTACCTGTATGTTATTGACTATGCAAAGGCATTCGACTGTGTGGATTGTAACAGATTATGGCTAACATTGCAAAGAATGAGAATTCCAGAACACTTAATTGTGGTCATGGGGAACGTGTACATAGACCAAGAGGCAGTCGTTTGAGGAGAACAAGGGGATACTGCATGGTTTAAAATCAGTAAAGGTGTGTGCCAGGGTTGTATTCTTTCACCATAGTTATTCAGTCTGTGTGCTGAAGGTGTAATTCCGGAAGCTGGGCTATATGAAGAACAGGGCATCAGGATTGGAGGAAGACTCATTAACAACCTGTGATACGCAAGTAACACAACTTTGTACCACCTAGGGACCATGTATTAGAGATTAGATCCATAAAATTATGATTCAAGTTAGAATATGATGAGTACATAAAGAGGCAGAGTGGGAATTCCTTGGGGTGTATTAACTTTGTTTCGAAATGTCCATCAGTGTTTGACACATTCTGGATTCCAAATCAATATTTCACTCTCTTTGAGGGGAGCGTATAAAGGCTATGTGATTTCAGAGTTAGTACTCTGTAGGGTCTGGAGAAAAGTAGTAGTGTGAGGTTGCACTTGAAGGGCAGTTTGAAGCCAGATCATGGAGCTCTTTGAGTGCTCACCAAAGGGGTATAGACTTTATTTTGTAGACACTAGGTAATTTTTTTAACAGTCAAATTATAGTAAAGTGGATTAACTGATCAGTAATAGCTCAAATGGTTTAGAGAAATTTAAAAAAAGCAGAACAAAAGTGAAAACAAACCGCACTGCCATAGAGTTGATCTCGACTAATAGCGACTCTATAGGACAGAGTTGAACTTCCCAGTAGGATTTCCAAGGCTGTAAATCTTTATGGAAGCAGACTGCCAGATTTTTCTCCTGGAGAGCGGCTGGTGGGTTCAAACTGCCGACCTTTCAGTTAGCAGTCAAGCACTTTAACCACTGCACCACCAGGACTCCTTTAGAGAAATGAAAGGTGGCAAAATCAGGAAGGAAAAGTGAGATCTAATGAAGGCCTTAGTTAGCATGTAGGTGATAATAATTGTTAACATTTATTGAATGCGCTTGTACCAGACATAGTGCTTTGGTGGTTTAAATGCATTGTTTGTAATCCTTCCATCAACTTTGAAAGGTAGTTATTCCCGTTTTATAGATAAGGAAACAGGATGAGAAGTTAGGTGATTTTCCTAAAATGGCATAGCTAGATTAAAATGCATCAACACACATTTTCCTGGCTCTAAAGCCGTGCTGTGCTGTCCCAGTGAGAGTGAATTAAACAAACTAAACCCATTGCCGTTGAGTTGATTCCGACTCATAGCTACCCTATAGGACAGAGTAGAACTGCCCCATAGGGTTTCCGGGAAGCAGTTTGGTGGATTCAAACTGCTGATCTTTTGGTTAGCAGCCGAATGCTTAACCACTGCACCGCCAGGGCTCCATGTGGGACTAAGTAGGAGGGGATAAATCAAGATAAAATTTGACTATAAAATTGACAAGATGGCGACTGATTGTATGACGGAGAAAAAGTAGTTAAAATGATAGTGTAATTGTAGGGACTAGAGAACTGATGTGGCCATTGATAGTAATAGAAAAGTCAGTAAGTGGGTTTGAAGTGGATTTGAGGGGAACAAGATAATTTTAGTTTAGATGTGTATAGTGGTATGCCAGTGGCTTCCAGTAGGAAGTTAGAAATCTGTTTAACAATCATTTGTGAAAAACAGCCTTGAAGGTGAGGGTACAGCTCTAGGAGGGGGAGTACAAATAAAAACAAAACAAAGAATTTTGTAATCTGGTGGGGAAGATAGTTTGTTTTTGTTTTTTTTTTTAATAAATGATTACAGTTTTATAACAGCACAGAGGATACATTTCAGGGCCAGTATAAAAAAGAGACACATAGAGTGAGATCTGGAAGGGCTCCCAATGTAAAGCTTCCATGTCCCAAAAAAAGAGACGCTCTATCATCCCATATGCAGGATGATAGACTTTTATTTAAGTATCACAAAGGGATAAAATGATGATAAATGAATTCCAAATTGTGTTTGTGGTTTGTATGCTTTTTTAAAAAAAATTTTTAAAAAAAACTGTGATTTTAGCAAATTTTAAGTTTGTTATAGAAAATACAGAAAAGCAAAGGCTTTCATAGTCCCAGCTACAGAGAACTTTCTTTATATTAATATTTTCCAGACTGTGTAGTGGATATTTATCATGTTTAAATATATACATCCACATTACTGTACTAATACTGTACATACTGTTTCATGGCTTCGTTTTTCACCTAACAACATGTTGTACATTTCCAGAATAAAATATACCTATATATAATTTTTTAAAGTAAGTTTCATTTTAAAAGTTATTATTTTTTTTGGACTAGGTAATACATATATGAGGTACACATTCAACAAGTATAAAAGGGTATACAATAAAAAGTAAGTCTTCTGTCTTCTAGCCATCTTGTTTCCCTCTGTAGAAGAAATCACTGTGACCAGTTTCTTATATATTCTAGAGATATTCTGTACATTATCATTTTTTATTGGCTGCATAATATTTCTTCATGTGATAATGCTATTATTTATATACTGAATTCTCCTACATTTAAATTTCTGACTTTTTACAGACAGTGATGTGATATTCTTGAAGTTATTTTATACTCTCTAATTCTTTTTTTAATATTTCTTTCCAGACTGGAATTGCTGGGTTAAAATAAAGTCTTAGGGGAGTGGCTGATTCTAGAAAATCCTACTTCATTTTAAGGTTTCTTTAAGAAACCAGTTTGGAATTTATCTGAACAGAAGTGGTAATGGAAGTGGTAGGAATAGATGATATCAGTGAGGGTGAGGGTAGAAAGAAAAGATAAGATAGTTGCACCGATAGAGGAGGAGGGAGTGGGAATCTGACCTATTTATTCAAAACATTCCTGTTACCTCCCAAATCATAAACTTCCCATGATTTCCATCATCAGCCTGTCTTTCTAGGCTTACTCCTGTGGATACCTTGAGCCCCTATTTCATTGTAATATTTTTAACTCTGTGTAAACGCATTTCAGTCAGATTTTATTAAGTACCTATTAAAAGTCTTTCATTTTTTAAATGAGTATGCTAGGCACTATGAATATAACAGGAAACAGATTTTGTTCTTGTCTTCTTGGAACACGTAACTAGTGGGAGAGATAAAGGAGGTAATTACAAATCAGTTTGCTGAGGGGCTTTGGGTACTCAAAGGAAAAGGCACCTACCTAAACTTGGGATCTGGCTCAACTTCCAAGAGAAGGTCAGCATCTAAAGGGAGTTGGGGCAGAGGGATGTGGGAGGGTTCTAAGCAGAGAGAACAGCATGAGTGAGGGGATGAAGATGAGAAAGTATGCTGTGTTGGGAGTATAAATTTGGAGTGATGGAAAGAGGCCAAATCATAAAGGGTCTTATAAAGCATGTTAAGGAGTTTGGCCTGAGGGCACTAAGTAGCAGGGGATTGATGCATTTATATTCTAGAAAGACCACACTGCAGTAGAAGAATGGGTTGGAGAGGGGCAAGAAAGAAGCAGAAAACCAGTTAAGATTCTGTTGCTGTAATCCAAATTAGAGAGTACTGTGTTCAAAACTAGAGAAGTGACAGATAATTGGAATGGAGGGAAATACATAGATGTGAGAGATTTAGAGGTTTAATCAATAGAATTTGGTGTTTGAATGGATGAGTGGTTTGGGTGAGAGAGAATGAAAAGCCAAGGATGATACTGGTGTCCTTCTAGGGCATTGTGTGGGTGTGGTGCCATTACTGATGGGAGAGTTCAGTTTTGAACTTGTTGAGTTTATGGTGCCTGAAGGACATCCAAGTGGAGATGTCCAACAGGCAATTAGGTATAGTAGTCTGGAGCTCAGGAGAGAGGTCCTGGATGGAGATGTAGATTTGGTGTCATCATCCGGCAGTAGAAGAAAATTTTTATTTCTTGTAATTCTATTGGTTGTGCTCTGTCCTCCCCCGCCATTTTATCCTCTGTTGTTGTTAAGTGCTGTCGAGTCATAGCGACCCTGCATACAACAGAACGAAACACTGCCTGGTCCAGCGCCATCTTCGCAGTTGTTATACTTGAGCCCACTGTTGCAGCCACTGTGTCAATCCATCTCATTGAGGGTCTTCCTTTTAGTCTTGGTGCACTTACTTGTTACTTTTCCTTTTGTGCACACTTTTCCCTTTGCCTGGAAAGCTTTTCCTTTCCCACTCTTCCACTGATTTTTGTTTTCCTTAAAGACTTAGTATTTATTTAGCTTTGGTGCTACTTCTTTAGGGAAACCCCCCCGACACTCCTTTTCTTCCCCACAAATGTTTGTTCACAATCATGAGTTAGGTAAGTACCCCTCCTTTGAATTTTCATAGCAACCTGTGTGAGTCTGTATTGTAGCAATTTATCTGTTTGTCTGCCACAGTAGATTAGTGTGTTCCTTCGTGGCGAAGAGTATGTCTTGTCTTTGTATCTTCGGGACCTAGCATACCTTACAACATACAGTTTATCCTATGCATTTCTTTTGTTATGATAAGCTTTTAGTTTGTGGATTTTCTTTTTTTAAGTCTCAGCCTGGTTTACCTCAGCTATTCATTACTTAAATGGCTTTTCTGCATCTCTTGATATTAGTCGTTTATACACCAACTAATTTAGTGAGTTAAGCTTATTTTGTTATAGATCCACAATCCCTTATCTATAAATTCTGAAATCCCAGAGTGGCAAAAAAAAACTCTGTCCTGAATTCATTTGGCTACGCAACTTAATCTGAACTGACATGATGCTAGTTATAGTCTTTATTATATAGTATGAACGCATATGGTATAGAAATATTTATGTTTTGGTTATAAGGTGCTGCCTCAGAAACCACTGAGGGTGTTAAGTAATACGCAGTATTTGTGGCATATTACCCTTCCAAAATTTTGAAAATTCAGAATTCTGAAAGGCCTCGGCCTCCAGAGGTTTCGGATAAGGGATTGTGGCCCTGTATTGTCCTAAGCAAAACAGCAAGGAGGTAAATACATGGCAGAAAGTGTTATACAGTGACTCATACAAACGGAGAGAGACTTAACTATGTGTAGTTTATCATCAGCTATTTTTAAAAGAATCATAATATAGCATTGTAAGTAATATAATACCTTTCTTTTGATGATACGGAGTTTGAGATTATTCGTGACATTCCGCATGAAAAAGAAACTAAATTAAATATGAGTAAATTGTGAATAGAGAAATAATGTGTTTTGCTTACAGTTTGCCCTTCCCTCTTTTTTTTTTTTTTTTTAAAGCAAAGTTCTCATATAGATGTGGTTCGTTTTCCGTGTGTGGTTTATATCAATGAAGTCCGAGTCATACCCCCAGGAGTAAGAGCCCATAGCAGCCTGCCTGACAGTAGAGCATATGGGTAAGCCAACTCTCTCTTTTAAAGTATTTTTTGGCTAAAGATTGTTCTAGAAACATTTTCTTAAATGCAAAAATTTAAGGTAGTATTTTCCAAGTTAAAAACAAAACTATTATTCAATTATGGCTATGCGGCATTGTAATAAGCTATAGGTTTTTGTAGTGGCATGTATTATGCTTATATCATCATAAACCAGAAATTTGGAAAGAGTAATTATTTGACCTAACTACTAAGTAAGATTTTTCTTTCTTCATTCCTTTTTTGAAAAAGTTGGTAGAAATAGGTTTGCACTTTCCAGAATATTCTAGGGTGGCACATGTCTAGTAAATGAAAGTATTTGTAACCTGACTTTTCCCTTGAAAATAAATGAGAATTAGTCTGAATATTTAAAAATGTATTTTTATTACATAGTATCAGATTTTATGACCTAATGTTGATCTTAGCCTGCTACATGTGTCTTTTTATAAATTTGTTGCTTCACATTAGCTATTAGTTGTAACTAGCAAGTAATTATTTGATACTTTTTCCTTCTGGGCTCCCTGGGAAATAAACAAAATGTAAGACATAATCCCTGATAACTTGATAACTTTAACAGCTGACATAAAACAGAGGAATTTGATCTTTGTTGTAACATGAATAATTATTATCTTCTGATTTTCATTACATGGGTTGGAGATATGAGCCAAATTTTGGTCATAGAAACAGGAATGTACATAATAAATATATCTTAGTGAATTTTTACCTTGTAGCCTAGGTTATGTATCAACACTGTATTTCATCGTATGCATATTATGGATAACTCATTTTCTCTTACATAAAGGAGTTAAGCCAGGTACTTAGTGGTGAGGTTTATGGTATAGAGTCAAAGTTAAGGGCTTATTTCTTCAAAGTTGTGAAAACTAGTTGCTTAGTTATAGAAATAGATATAAAACCATCAAAGGTGCCATTGAAGAAAACAAACAAAAGCAAATGTAAAACAAAACAATGATAATAATTAATATTTCTAATGAACAATCATTATAATTGGTTTCATAGTTGTTTCCTTTTCCCCTGTGTTTAAGAAAAACTCATGTTTTCTTTTGGCCAAAGAAGATCTATTAGTTATATATTGCTGTGTAACAAATTACAGCAAATTTAGAAGCATAAAACAGTAAACATTTATCTTTTTCATACCATTTATAAGGTTCGGTAATCTGAGAGCAGCTTAACTGGCTCAGATTTTATTATGATGTTATAGTCAAGATACAGGCTGAGGCTGGAGAATTTTCTTGAAGGCTCACTCACATGGCTGTTGGAAGTAGACTTCAGTTCCTTTCTAGGAGAACCTCTCTATGGGGTGCTCAGGTCATGACATAGCTTCCTCCAGAGTGAGTCATTCTTGGAAGCCACAGTTAGTGTGTTTTATAACATAATATTGGAAGTGACATACTATCACTTTTACCGTATTCTATTGGTTATACAGACGAACCCTGGTATAGCGTGGGAGGAGACTACATAAGGGTATGAGTACCAGGAAGCAGGGATTATTGAGGGCCATCTTGGAAGCTGGCTACCATAGCAGGCAAAATAGATCTCTGTTATTAGCTTCCCAGGGAAGAAGTATTTCCACATTTCCCCCTTATTATCTCTCTTCTTTTTTCTTAGTTGGGGATGAATGGCTATTCATGTTTTAATAACTCCAAATATGAAAGTATCAGAAATATCTTTATATGTGGTTATTATGTTACAGAACAGTAAAATATTAACAAACTGTGAAGCCTAGAATCTTGACATTGAAAGTAATCTTAGAGATCAAATGATGTTTGTGCAGCATACTGTACAGTAGTGTTTTTTCTCATTATAAAATTCAAAAGTATATAGGAAAAATTAAAGTCCCTGTAATCCCTCTATACACCAGTTGCCATCGAGTCAGTACTGACTTATGACGACCATGTGTGTCAGAGTAGAACCGTACTCTAGGGTTTTCAGAAGTAGATTTCCAGGCCTTTCTTCCAAGATGCCTTTGGGTAGTCTTGAACTTCGAACCTTTCAGTTATCAGCAAAACTTGTTAACTGTACCACCCAGGGACTAGGCCTACTTTAGAAAATTTAGCCATTGAAAACCCTTTGGAGCACAGTTCTACTCTGACACACATGGAGTTGCCATGAGTTGGAATCGACTTGATGGCAGCTGGTTTGGTTTGAGTCTCTGGGTAGTGCAAACAGTTAATGCACTTGGCTGCTAACTGAAAGGTTGGAGGTTCAGATCCACATACATATGCCTTGGAGGAAAGGTCTGGCTACCTGCTTCTAAAAAATTAGCCATAAAAACCCTATGGGGGCATAGTTCTCCTCTGACGCATGCGATCATGAGTAGGAGTTGACTGAATAGCAACTGGTTGATTCCTCTGTCCCAAAAGAATCCTAAAAACATTTGATGTATTGTGTTTTTTAATGTATGTATGCGTTTGCACATTGTGGTATTTCTTGCAAATATAGTATTTTATGTGAGATTAGGTTTTAGAGTCAAACAAGTTGTAAGATAAAATTACCTTTTGATTCTTTAAATCGTTTTTCAGTGACCAAGACCTGAGCTTTTGGGAGCTCAAAAGTAAAAGAATTTGCATGTCAGCCTTTTGTTGTTGTTTCCTTGAGATATTGGAGGCCAAGGTCTAGTTTGAAGCGGAAGGGTAAGAGGAAGAGACTAGAGTTTTTGATCCCATATGATTGAATTTGGGTAAGGTAAATGTATGATGCTACTCTGACCCCACTGTTTATCTTTTTGTGTATTCCTTTATTTATGTCAGGAGCATTTTCACATCATTAAATGTTATTTGAAAATATGATTTCTAATGACTATATAGTCTAACAAATGACTGTACTGTAATTTATTTGACTAGTCTCTTGTGTGGGGACCATTAGGTTTTAGTTTTTCAAATTATAAGTAATGTATGATGAACATCCTCTTGAGAAAAAAATCTTTGTTTGATCTTTGAGTGTTTCCATAGAAACATATCCTAGGAAAAGTATTTCTTGATCAAATTGAATTGTGTGAACATTTTCTCAGCTTCCTGATACTCGTTGCCACATTTCTTTTCAGAATGATTGTACCTGTTTGTACTTCTGCCAGCAGTGTATGAGAAAACTCTTGACAGTACCCGGGTGTTATGCTTTTTAACCATTTGGATTTTTATGTAAACGAACAATGAAGCATGCAGTGATTAAAAATCAAGATTTTAGTTGAGCCTAAGGAATTTCAGCCACGGGTGCTGTGTTGCAATTTCTTTTATATCACGTATAGCAAGATTTCATTCTAATGAAAATTAAGTAGTTAAACGCTATTCTTAACTGTATAAATCTACAAAAAAGACAAAGTATTTATGTAAATTACTGCTATAGAAATTTTAATCTAGGCTTAAAGTCAGAATTTAGGGCTCTGATGCCAACATTGCTGGCTTTGTTATAGTCTTATTTTAGTGTGGATTTAGTTGAAATCAAATTGTAATTATAGTATACAACTTGAAGTATAGTTATTTCCTGACTTTTGCTAATGAAAGGGAACAGTGATGTAAAGAATTATAAAATTAAATATCACAATAGTTAACTAGCACTTGCCTTTAAAATACATTTAAAAATTTAAATATTTGGGTGTTTTAGAATGGTCCAAATAGCAGCGGGAAGATGCGTAATGATTAAAATTTTATTCTCAATCATACGCAAGTGAATAGTTGGCCGCTTGAGGATTGATTATGAACAAAATTACAAAGAATTTATAATTAACTGTATTTTTTTGTTATTTAATCCTTAGGAATAATATCATTTCATAATTTGAGAATTGCTCTTAAATTTGTACTTTTTTTTTAAATTTAGGAACTGATTGTTGTAAAAGTTAATATTTGAACTTTGTTTCATTCACAGGGAGACTTCTCCGCATACATTTCAGTTAGATTTATTCTTCAACAATGTAAGCAAACCGAGTGCCCCGGTTTTTGATAGGTTGGGAAGGTACGTACTTGCTAGGTAATTTCACCAGAAACTCATGAGTTAGTAAGGAGAATCTTTTTATTCTTTAAATAGAAGAAAAGGATATCTGGTGGCAGACCCAAGAACTCAGCCTTTAATTTATCCATTGGCAGTATCAAAGGAATGTCAAACTCTTAAGGAGATGATGAGTTTATATACAAAATAAAATTATAAATTTGTGAAATATTAGCCATATTTTGTTTTCTTTTTACCGGTGCCTGAATTTCTTACACATATCACGATTTTATAGTAAGCTTCTACTTTGGAAAAGCTTGCTTTTTAAGTCTTTTAAAAAATATGACTATAAAAACACTGAGAGCTAATATTTCATCTGTTTTTTTATATCACATTACTACAAAATTTAAAATTCCATAACCACGTATTTTGTAAACTGAGAATTTGTTAATAGATAACCCCCTTTTGATTCTTTAATAGATGTTAGGTGTATTAAAACTATCTACCATATTTTTACACAGATAATGCATGCCTTCTGTGTTTGTTTGCCAAACAAATGTTAACAATTTTTTTTTAGTTAAAAAAAAAATAGCATAGCTCACTTAACGAAAGTACCTCGTGCGGGGAGGGAGCAGTTGGCAAACAAACATAGAAGCCGTGCATTATTTTTGTAAAAATGCAGTAGTCATTCTGATGTCTGCAACCAAACTGACTATTAAATGGGTTTATTTAGAACTCATTTATAAAACAAAAAAACTATAGCTTAAAAATGGAAAAACTTCCATCCCTGTCAGGAATGAAAAGTTTGTTAAACTTCACTCATTCTTTATTGATCTTTTTTTCATTTATTGTTAAATTATATTGATAACCGTTTTAATGAAGGAAAATCTAGATAATCTGAAGCGGCTAATTTTTAATAATTTAGAATGTTTTTCTTTTGTCAGTATCTACTTGGTAAAAGTAGATACTGACAAAAAATAGGTGTTTTTCCTTATTTTTGATCCTAGTGTACATTTTTAGGGTAGCATCTGGGTGAGGCAGTAGTTAATATGCATCACTGCTGACCAGAGGGTTGGCAGTTCAGGTCCGCCCAAAGGTGCTTCAAAAGAATAGTCTGGTGATCTACTTCCTAAGTATCAGCAATTGAAAAGCCTATGGAGCACCCTTCTACCATGGCACACATGGGGCCGCTGTGAATTGGAAATGACGCCAGAGCAACTAGTTTGATTTGCTTTTGGTACATTTTTAGAGGACCATAATGCAGTTGTTCTCCACTCTGGTTGTAGATTAGAATTACTTGTGCCCTTAAAAAAACATACTGATGCCTAGACTCACCCTGAGCCCATTGACTCAGACTCTCTGGGGCATTTGTTTTATCCTTTTTTTTTTTAATGACATTTTTGGGAGAGTAAGTTAAACCCAAACTTTATGCCTTTTTAAAACAAAACAAAAATCTAGCTTTTGATTATATTGAAATGTTTGAACCCAGAAAGACTTCTTCATTAGCTGTGTTTGAGCCTGTATATTTATTCCTGCTTTTTTTTGCAGCCTGGAATATGATGAGAATACTTCCATCATCTTTAGACCCAACTCAAAGGTAATTATGGAAGTCATTTTCAATTTGTCACTATTGTTTTTTTCACCTCCATTCAAAGTTTTAAATCCAAATAAACCAGTGATGTAGAATGTCAGCTTATTTAGTTCTAGTTCTGCAGATCATCATTTCTTGTGTGATTCCTCTAGGATCCAGAAACTGTTTTAAAATGGAGCAAAGACATTGTAATGTCATTCTCTTTGCCTATAAAGAAAGCTGTTTCTTCTTCTAATTTTATACTTGAGTGAGGAAGAGGTCAGCATTTGTACTTTATCTCTTTTCATTTAATTGGGCAAGTACAGAAGATGACAGGCAGGTAGACTGTTATTAGACATCACTGTGCCTTAAGGTTAAAAAAAAAAAATTTCATATTTCTTCCCTTCATATCAAAAGTATGTCCTTTTCCTTGGCATATACAGGTGCCATTCTAGAAGTACCTAATCATGGAAGATCTGAAATGCAAAAATAATAATGGTCTAGTATGTGATCTATAGTACGAGATTACCCAACTTGCTGTTTGATAATCTACTGAGGGGTAACTGTGCATACTGTTAAGACTACAAATTATCTCTCTTACCTGATTATCTTCCTTCCAGTGAAGTTTCTGTTTAAAGTGTCTCACTCCCTCAGGATAATCTTTGAGCTTTTCTTCTGGTCCCTAGTTTCCCTGTATAGTCTAGCAGCAAGAATAATAATTTCTTTCTTATTGTGCCTCTAGAAGGGGCCTCAGTACTACTTACTACTTCATCTTTACCTTTACTAGGTTCTTCTACTGCCATTCTGATTTCCTTGCTTATCAAAATGGAATGGTAATATTTGCTCTGAAAACTGCTACTCATAGTTATTGTGAAAATCTAGAGATCAGTGTAGATATGTTTGAAAAGCATAAAAATGCTATTTTTATTTCATAAGGAAATGTTGGTATTTATATTGGTAAAGACTGATCTTTTTAGGAGAAAGTTTCTTTACAAAAACAATTTGTTTAATGCATATGTATGGGTACCCTTGCTTTTTAAGTACACTGTGGGTACATAAAATATACTTGCATGTGTGAGTTGGGCACGTAAGAAGAATACTGTGCAATTTTATGTATTGTGTTTAATTCTTGAGACTGGGTACAATTTGGGCTTTTATGGACATCCATGACCTCTGTAGCTATTGGGGTTTGATTTATTAATTGTTAATAACTCCCATTTAATTTCATTCTACTTGGTTTGAAGTCTGGTTTTTTGAACAAGGTTGACATAAAATGTTAGGCTAGAGAGATGTAGTCTCAGAACAGATTTAGTTATAGTAACCCTGGAGGGCCATATAAAAACTTTGCCTTTGAATTTTTACCGATATTGACCGATATGTTTTCAGTATATTTTTAATGATTTTAGTAGAACCACAAACTAATTTGATATCGTTTACCTCTGGTATAGTAAGACATTAATTTGAAAGATTTTTTTCCCTCTAAAAATCAGGTGAATACCGATGGTTTGGTGCTAAGAGGCTGGTATAACTGTCTGACACTGGCAATATATGGATCGGTTGATAGAGTGATAAGTCATGATAGAGACTCTCCACCACCACCACCACCACCTCCACCTCCTCCCCAGCCACAGCCAAATTTGAAAAGGAATCCAAAACATGGTGAGGATTTTAAATATGCCTTTGCCAGTGAAACTTTGTCATTGTGGTAGGAAAACTGATTTAGAGAGCTCTTCTACTTTTTGAAACTTGCTTAAGACTTGACAAGGTATCTCTCAGCCTCCATTCTTTTCTCTATGAGTTTATGTTGAAGTGGTTGCATTTTATTTTCTCCTTCTACTTAGAGTGCTTTTTAATTGCCCTGAGGGTTTTTTTCCCATTTAAAATATATTAAGGATAATGTAATCCAGTGGTTATTTATGGTTTACTATCAAAATTAGTATCAAAAGAATTGAAGTAGATAGTGTTAGGTATATATTTCTAGAATGCTGACATTAATGGAATTTTTTTTCAGGAGTTCGTTTCAAATCTGTTTAGATGTATAAATCTTAGCTAGTGCAGATTTTCCCCACTTTTGAGAACCTTTTGTTCATTTTTGGAGACAGGAAAAATAGACCACTCCAATACACTTCAGTGGCTTTTGTTCTGTGAGGCAGGCAGCTGGGCTCATGTTTCCTAGGGTCTCTTCTTCTTATGTCAGTGTTACTTCCTATAAGGAGCTGATATAAAGGAGATTCGGGAACACATATCAAAATTATAATTGAAGTCACTGGGGAAAAACATTTTGTGTTATGATTAGTATTTTATGCACACAAATTAAATGATCTGTGTTTCTCTTAATCCTGATACAATAGTATGGATTCTTTCTCTCTGATGTTGGTCACACACTGTATTTTCATTTCTTTTACCTGCTAAGCACAGTTAGGAGCCCTCATGGCCCAGTGGTTAAGCATTTGGCTGCTAACCGAAAGGTTGGCATCTAACTCTCCAGCTGCTCCATTAAGAAAAGATCTGATGATTTGCTCCCGTAAAGATTAAAACCAAAAAGAAAACCAAACCCATTGCTGTCGAGTTGATTCCAACTCTTAGTGACCCTATAGGACAGAATAGAACTGCCACACAGGATTTCCAAGGCTGTAAATCTTTTAGAGAACCAGACTGCCACATCTTTCTCGTGTGGAGTGGGTGGTGGGTTTGAACCACTTTAACCACTGTGCCACCAGATCTCCCTGTAAAGATTATGGCCTAGGAAACCCTATGGGGCAGTTCTCTGTCCTATAGGGTCTCTTTGAATTGGAGTTGACTGGAAGGTATACAACAACAACAACAACAAGCACGGTTAATCTTTCCTTTTTCTTTTTATTCTGTTCTCATTTGTCTTTTTTTCCCAGATTGTGAGCTCCATATAGGCAGGCATTGTGTTTTACTTACATTTGTTTCTCTAGATGTATCAAGTACCTGGCATATATAGTGGCTACTCTAAAATTTTGATCGGTTAACTGACTTATTATAAAATTGATATTTAAGCTCATAAGTTACATATATTTAACTTTTTATTTTGAAAAATAATTAGGTTTACAGGATGTTCCCAAGAAATGTACAGGAAATCCTGTCCACTCTTCCCCCAGCCTCCTCTAATGTTAACAGCAAAACCAGAAATTGACATTGGTACGATCTGTAGCGCTTGCTCAGATTTCACCAGTAATATATGCACTCATCTTTGGTGTAACTGTGCAGTTTTATGTCATGTGTAGCTTTGCATAACTACCACCATAAACATGATACTTAACTGTACTATCACCACAAGTCTCTCTTGTGTTACCTCCTTTATAGCCACACCCACTCATCCACCCATCCTTAACCTCTGGCAGTCATTTTTATCTGTCCTACATCTCTATATAAATGGAACCATGCAGTATGTATCCTTTGAGATTGCCTTTTTTTAATTCAGCATAATTTTCTTGAGGTTCATCCAAATTTTTGTGTGTATCAGTAGTTTGTTCCTGTTTATTGCTGGATAGTATTTCATAGTATGAATGTACCACAGTTCATTTAATTATTCACCCATTGAAGGACATTTTGGTAATTTCTAGGTTTTTGCTGTTATGAATAAAGCTGCTGTGAACATTAATGTAACTTCTTCCTGCATGAAAAGAAGTCTTTGTTTCTCTGGGATCATGCTCAAGAGTGAATACATTGTATTTTGATAAATGAAAAGTCAAAAATTCTAACTTTTCAAATGTAGCTTAATTAATAAAAATTCTCTTAGATGTCAGGAAGAAAACGTTTATTATCAAGAAGTGAGAAGGTGAAAAACTCAAATGATGAAAAGTATTTTTGACATGCACTCATCATTATTCTTTAATAATTTTAGAGTTTCTTTTCTGTCTCTAATAAAATTCTAGCTGATGGGGAAAAAGAAGATCAGTTTAATGGAAGCCCTCCAAGACCACAGCCAAGGGGACCAAGAACTCCTCCAGGACCCCCTCCGCCTGATGATGATGAAGATGATCCCATTCCTGTGTCAGGTATATATAAAATCAGTGCTGGCTTTTTCCCCCTGATTAGCGATAATACCTTTTTGATTAGAGAAAAAAACAATTAGATGCTGGTAATCAAATCTTGATGAATGCCCTCTTTTTTCATCCTGCGCAGTATTTCATTTGTGCTTTTCAGTTGGCAAGTGAGCTTGTTTCAAAAAATTGGTTAATTCATTTCAAGCTGTGTCAACATTGCTTTGAAAAATAAAGTAGTAATGTGCTGTAGTGTTACGTACAAAAAAGTCCCAGTTAACAATAATCAGCATGTTTTCAAAGAGGCAAAAATCTATATAGTTAGTTAATAGCTAAAAAGTAAAGGATTAGTTTATGGTACTGGAACATAAAATAGTATATTTTATTAATTCAAAGATGTACAATGTATACTGTACTTTTTTTTTAACAAGTCACATCCCTTTTTAAGGGTTTTTTTTTAAATTTTTTTTTTATTTTACTTCAGGTGAAGGCCTACAGAAGAAATAGTTTCTCATGAAACAGTAGTACACATATTGTTTTATGACATTGGTTAACAACCCCACAACATGTCAACCTTCTAACTTCTCAACCTTTTTCTTTGGTGAAAATACA